GGAGGCGAGGCCGGGGGGGGGCGGAAGGGATGGAGCCTGAGACCCAGACGCCCTCCCGCCGCCCATCCTCACCTTCGTGGTCGGTGGGAGCGGGTGGCACTACACCGACCCCTCTCCAAACCCGAGCTGGCGCGGGGACCACCATGCCAACCCCTCTACCCCCAACAGGAAACTGGAAACGTCGGGAGGGGGGGACCTTTGGGTTTAGCCACTCGGTCCCCACCTTTACCCCCATGTCACTAAGTCAGTCATTTCCAGAGAAGAGCCTGGAGAGCAGGAAAGAGCCGAAGCTCGGGGACCAGCATTTATCGCTGGTCGGAGGGGCTCCTTCTGTAAGGTTTTGTGACACCAGGAAAAAGAGGGTCCCGTCGCCGGCTCCCTCTCGGCTGAAATGGAGTCAGCCCTGGGAACTGGAGCTGGAGCGCGCGCTGTCCGCGTGGCCAGAAGGGGGCGCGGCGAGAGGCTGGCTGGGAGGGGAGCGCCACGCCCAGGGCTTCAGGTGCCCCCCAGGACTCAGCCCGCTGCTCCAGCTCCCCATCCTGATGTCTCTGGTGGCGTTGGAGACAAAGACACTATGGCCTTTTTCACGAATAATCGATTGCCTTAACAATTGACTTTGTCCAGCCGTGGACAAGGCCTACTACTCCCTCTAACTAACTAAATATATATATTTATATATTGACTTCAGTGAGGAAGGGAGACGGAGAGAGAGATGGAAACACCAATGATGAGAGAGAATCGCTGGGAATCGAACCGCGACCTCCTGGTTCATAGGTCGATGCTCAACCACCGAGTGACACCCGCTGGGCTTCCCTCCTTTGGTTTTTAACTGGCCTGGCGTGGGTTTCCAGGAAGCACCTCCCCGAGCTCCCTTCTGCACCCCCTCTTTTTCTTAGGGTCACCACAAACAATACCCCCACATTTCCGAAGCCCCTCCACAGCTGGCTTCTCCTCTGCCAGTGCACTGTGTTAGGCCGTCTTTCTGGGGGGGGGGAGGGGGGTTCCCATGGGTTGCCGATTCCTGTAGTTTTGCCATGGCCCTTTCAACGACTGGCTGTTCCCGTGCCACTTTGTAAGGCGCTTTCTCTCCACGAGACACAGAATCTGCCTCTCCAAGAAGGCGGCCCCATTCCATAGGGAGGGCCGATGGAGACCTCTTATTTCCAAGATGATTTTATCTGACATCCATGCATCCCACACAGCCCCCAGCCCCTCCAGAGTGCTGCCTGCCCTAGAAGAATGGCTTTGGTATGGAGAGGTGTCTCCCTCAATCATCATCGTCAGTTGTGTACAAATCAGCCACACACATAGCCTGGCGCTCGTATTGTTGTTGATCTTCCCCCGAGTGGCTGTGCTCCCACTTGCTTCTACTTCTGACTCACACAGCACAGCCGCAGGAGAGAGCAGTGTGTGGAATCTGCGACTCCTGTGCTCCGTGGTGCTCACTGGAGCTAGTGATTGTGTCAGAGATAAAGAGAAACCAAGAACAACTACGCTCCACGTGACTGTGGGATCCCAAGGTAAGGATGCAAGAGGCAGGATTTGGGGGGAAACAGCCCCTTGAGCATTAAAGGAACGACGCACACCGGCTGCTTGTCTAAAGAGCATCCTGTTTGCTCTGTGAAGCTGCTAAACATTTCCACTGAAGATTAGTGCCGTAGACCAATTCCAGCATGCCATCATTTCAAGAGTTTCATCAAAAGGTTGATGAGACTTGGGGACTCAACAGGGTTGAGTCACACATGTAGTCACCTGTTGGGAATGGCTAAAGGCATTTCCCCAAACCTGAATAGGAAACTGATTGTGGCTGCCAGACAGCTAAAAGGCATCTTAATCTACATGTTATTGCCTCCTCCTGGCCAAACACCTGAACAGCCGTAGGCTATTCCCCAAACTGACAATGCTTCTGTACCCTTGGAAACCTTACCCTTTGAAGTGTATTATCTCCACCTTGCCTTAGGACAAATTGTGTTAATAAAAGCAAGGGTCCTATACAAGGAGGGCATCTTCAGTTCCTTTAGCTGAAGGTCCTCTGACCTCCAATGCCTTTCAAAATTATATCTCGTCTCCGGACTCTTTATTAGTCTCTGGATTCCTATGTCATCTACGCACAGCCTTTTCCAGATTCCTGAACCCTTCTTGATGCTGGGACAAGAACCGTGGCAGATTAGTAAACATTTGATTACATAGGTTCCTACCTGCAGAAGGACTTCACAGAGTTTCTTTCTTATAACACATCAGACTAAGTAAGTAAGCGGAGAGAGCATAACAACGCACGTGTCTCCTGTGAACACTTCGAAAAGCCCCCTAACTGGAAGCAGCTGCCAGGGTTGTGGCTGCAGCTCTTCCTGGGCTCTGCAGGAGCTTGTGTTAGAGGAGATGGATCACGTCAACGCGGCAGAGACAAGAGCAACCGGCTTAACTGAATCCATCTATTCCCCACGGAGCGCAGACAGTGATGGGCATGGCTGGAACCAGGAGTCGCCAGACCTCTGAGAGCCAGGCCAGCCGGGCAAACATATTCAGTTCCCTTAGCTCCCTAGAGCCCGGTCTCTCAGCTAACTGTGCTCAGCACGTCTGGCATCTCATTTACGTATCTGTTTATGACTTCAGGTAAAGGCCAGGCGTGGGGGTGGGGGCTCCCAAGCTTTAGTCCTCGCGTCTCTGCGTCGGTTAGTGCTCCAAAGCTGATACAGACGGTGGCTTCTGGATTGATTAATCCTCTTATAGATGAAGCTGGATTCCCCCTCACACATCAAACTGTAATGGAGGCTTATTAGTAGCACAATTGACAAACCGAATTACCTCAACTGGGTATCATTTGTGTGGGTCATCTCATTTTTCTCCATCATTGATTGTGGCAATTTACAATCCAATCTACCTCCTCTGCCCATGTGTAGCTCTGGCCGGGCTGTGGGCAGGCCCACACCAGAACTAAGGTGGGTGCCGTCTCTGGTCTCTGCCTTGTCTTTACTTCTATCTACTTATTTTACAGTTAAGACCGTAGGCTGCTGTGGAGACCCAGCTCCTCTTCCATTTCACTGCCTCCACCCACCTCTTCCCACCAAAAATCAAAACCAAAAAACCCAACACAGAAAACAACATCTTTAAAATGCTGAGATGGATGTATAATTTTTAAATATTTTAACGATAAAAGGACATATTTAAGAATATAAAGAAAGAGCCCAGCTGGTGTTGCTCAGTGGTTGAGCATCAACCTATGAACCAGGAGGTCACGGTTTGATTCCAAGTCAGGGCACATGCCCAGGTTTCAGGCTTGATCCCCAGTGTGGGGCGTGCAGTAGGCAGCCAATCAATGATTCTCTCTCATCATTGATGTTTCTGTCTCTCTCTCCCTCTCCCTTCCTGTCTCTGAAATCAATAATAAAAAAAGAGCATCAAGAAAGAGAAATATAAAAATTATTCTAGTCCACGGCTCCATGTCCCACAGGATGGATGGGTCTCATCCGTGTTTCATGTTTAGGGACTATCTATAAAAAGCTATTGTATTTCCTCTTTGGATTTGATTACAAATTTGGAGAAACCCTGTTAATAAATATCTCCAGGTGTAAACAAGTGAATACTGTTGCTAAGAAAGGTTCTTAGCACGCTGGGCATTTTAGTGCCGATCTTCCGCATTGTTATTCTCCAGTGACTCAGTTAGTGCTTCCTTTTTTTGATACAGTTTTATCTCCTACACATTTTCCTTCCTTTGGAATTCCGCTCACTAGTCCTACTAATCTTAAATTATATGCTAATTAACATTTCGAAATGATACATTTTTATTTGTGGTCCATGACTTGGTAAATGAGTGCAATCTGAAGCCTCATTTGACAACTTGGTCTCAGAGAATGTTTTGTTTGATCATTGTTCAGTAGGCATCACCCGGTTGAATAGGCGCGACCCCTAAGGAATCCTTTAAAATGCAATTAAAAAATCATAATCGTTCCAAATGCAATTTTTCAAAAGATCGCACAGGAGGTGATGATTGCAAGCAATCGTGTGAATTACTCTTCCTGTGCCTCTTACTGGAAACGATGTTAGTTAACATGGAGTCTGCACAACAGAAATAGGCCAACATGAAGGAGATGCCCTTGGAATCTCTCTCTGCAGCTCATCGTTCGCTAAGATGCCCAGATCCTCTGTTTTTCCCTGGCATCCTTAGCAGAGGCTTTGAATTGGAGAGACTGAGATAAAGTTTCTCCTGTGGCTACTGCCACTGTCCGTGCGCCATGTCCTAGCGTCACCTGCACACCAAGCAGTAGCCAACGGACCGGACCTTGTTCGCTTTCAGGCGAGGTGGAGCTCCAGCCCAGCATTGCCAGGCTTCCCGGGCTCCCCTTGGGGTCTCACCAGCCTTCTTTCCTAGGGTCACGGTGCAGAGTCCAGTCCCAACTTCCAGATCAGCCTTGGTGGTCCTAGCAAGATTCTGATACTTCAGCCGTCTCAGCCCCCAGGATCCATGCCAAGTGGTGAGGTTAGCCAAGGTCCCCTGCTTTATCATTTTATCTGTAACGTGGTGTTGCAGGGTTCGTAGGAAAGTAGACACGGATATGGGGGTCACTGTGCTGGAGGTGCTTGGGGGACATTTCTAAGGGATGTTATGTCCACGGGACCCACCTTTATGGAAGGGGAGGAAAGAG